TTGAATGGGATGACTCTAGGTAGGAGGAGGTGATAATGTTTGAAGGGAGTCTAATTTTTTTCTCAAAAAATGTTCTAATTTATAATATGTACAATAAAGTGTCTACCCTTAAGTGTTCAACAGTTTAAAGATGTTTCATATGTGTGCATGTGTGTAACCACCACCCTGATAAAGAATATATTCAGTAAAACACATTTTGTAATGCCCCCATCCTCCCATCCTCTACTTCTCTCCAGGTCATGTTATGATTCCTGTCATCCTAGCTTAGTTGTATGAACTCTTGTGTCTGGCTTTTTTTGCTATACAAAGTAGCAGCAAGATATTCCTTTATTGTTGTATGTACCAGTTATCTTTTAAAAGTTGCTGTGTAGTATTTGATTGTACAAATAAACAATAGTTAATCCGTTTTAACGCTCATGGGCATTTGGGTTGTTTCTGGTCTTTGGCTATTAATCAAGCTGCCCACATGTCTTGCACACATGCACTCATTACTCTTTGCTGTATACCTATGAGTAGAATTGCTGAGTCATAGAATAGGCCATTTTTAGTTTCTAGAAACTACCAAATTCTCCAGATTGGTTGTATCACTTCACATTCCCACCAGCAGCAAATGAGTGTTTTAGTTGCTTTATATCTTGAGATTATCAGTCTTTTGTGGCTTTAATTTTTATTTCCCCGGTGAGTAATGATGCTGAACATATTTTCATATATTTAAGGCTGTTTGATTTTTCTGTTTTAATGCAGTGCCTATTTAAGCTTTCTCTTATGTTATTGAATGGTTTGCTTATTATTATTATATAACATTTTAATCTATTTGGAAACAAGTCTTTTGTCAAATATATGTGTTGCAAATACCTTTTTCTAGTCTGTCTTTGGTTATCCTTTTCACCTTTCTTAATAAGATTTTTCGAAGAATAGTATTTTAACTTTAATGAAATGAAATTTATCGACTTTTTTTTATGATTAGGATTTTTTGTATTCCTTTTGGAAAAAAATCTATGCCCATCCCCAGTACATGAAAATGAGGAGGGTCTTAGAGAAAAACTAAGAGTTTTGTCTTGTGATAGGGAGATCATTTCAGGTGTACATATATTAAATATACTTTACATACCTTAAAATGTACTAACTGTACAATTCAGTAGTTTTTAGTGTATTCACAGGATTGCGCAACCATCACCCCCCTCTAATTATAGAAATATGTCCTTTTGAGAGAAAGCATAAAAGAATAGAATAAGTGGACTATTTAAGGAATAACATGTAGTTATATATAGGTGATACTTTATGGGGTCAGGTTGAAAAAAAAAAAATTTTTACTTTATTTTTTATGGTGACATTGGTTAACGAAATCCAGTAAGTTTCAGCTGTATACTTTAACAGTAAGGCATATATATGTTTATACTGTGTTCACCTCCCATAGTTAGATTTCTTTCTGTCACCACATATTTGACCCCATTTATCCCTTCTACCTCTCCTCTCTTTTTCCCCCTCCCCTCTGGTAACCATGAGTCTATTGTCCATGACCATGAGTCTCTGTTGGTTTGTCCCGTTCATTTGTTGCTTTTAGGTTTATACCCCACATGTAGTTTTCAACTTTTTCTGTCTTATTTCGCTTAGTATGATTATCTGGAGGTCCATCCACATTGTCGCAAGTGGCAGTATTTCATCTCTTCTTATGTCTTGAGTGGTATTCTGAAAATATTTAAAAACTATTTCTGACTAGTAAGCTTGATCTAGAAATTAAATGTAAAAGCAATTGGTTGCAAAAAGTTTCTCATATTGATCATTCTAGTATTTGTTGTGTAACGAACAAGTTAAAGTGTAGGGGTCGGAAGTAATCATAATTAGCAAAAAGCTTGCATAACGCTGCTCTGTGCTTTGCACATTACAACATATATTGTTGCATTATATATTTTAATTAATTTAATCCTTACAACAAGTATTCTTTGAGGTAATTACTGTTGTTGTCCTTATTTTATAGATGAGGAAACTGAGGTAAGAAGAGAGTAAATATTTTCTAAGGTCATGGGCAATTAGTGGTAGATTGAGGACTTCGGAGGCAATATCAAACCAGGGTCTGTGTCCTTAACCATTTGTGCTTTAGTGCCTCTCAGTAATTTATAATGCAGAACAGCTCCAGTGCAAATATGTACTGTATGTTGTCTTTGGATTACTGTTATTATCTCTTAGCTATTCTAGTCTGGAATTTGATTATTCTAAGGAGTTTGTATTTTTTTTCCTTTTATATTTACAATATGCTTCAAGCATTTGCCAAAGGTCAGTGTTATTCATATCTTAAAAAAAACATCAGTGTGGGTGCTCTACAGTCGGGTGCTTTGTGTATGTGATAATTGATATAGTCATCATGATGACTACCTATACACACACACGTGCGCATGCTTGCACACATTTTTGGGGGAACCCTTTTAGAGGAGCAGTATCCATAAATATTAAATTCAGTGCATGTTTTTCCTAAGAACAAGGACATTCACTTATATAATAACCCTAGTACAGTTGTCAAGATTCAGAAATTTAATATTGAAGCTATTAGCTAACCTACTGGAATTTAACTAATTGCCCCAACAGTGGCCTTTATGTCGCAAGTGTTGTGTGTGTGGTTTAGAGTCTAATTGAGGACCACGCATTGCATTTAGTTTTCATGACTCCTTTAATCTTAATATTTCCTCAGCCTTTCTTTATCATTCATAGCACTGATATTTTTGAAGAGTATCAACCTTTTATTTTGTAGTATGTCTCCAATTTAGGGGTTATTTCGTGTTTTTATAATGATCAGATTCAGTCTATGCATTTTTGCAGAAAATAGAACAAAATTTTCACTGTATCTCTTCAGGGGACACTTGATAACAATTTATTCCATCATAGATGAAGTTACCTAGCATCACTTGGTTAGGGTGGAATTTGCCAGGGTCTCCAGTGTAAACTTATTATTTGTCCCTTTACTGTTAATTGTTTTTGGGGAGATAAACTTTGAGCCTACATAAATATGTTGTTCTCCATTAGAACTCATTTTAGTAGCTGCGATGCTTTTTTCCTGAATCAGTTATTACTATGAGGGTTACAAAATTAGTATTTTTGTCTTCCCATTTAAATTTATTAGTTGGTATTCTACTTACGGAGCTTTCTGTTCTTTTACTCTGTCTAATCTTTGGCTAATAAGCCAAAACTATCATTATTTTGATGCTCATATAATACAGATTTTATATATTGAATATATCAGTATTTGCTCATAAGGTTTCTGGGGCAACTATAAAGATTTGAATTAGGTAAGAATCTCCATTAGAGTGTTGGTAATGGCAAAGGCTAGAAACTAGAAGTCAGTGAGACTTAATTAACTTGATATGGGAAATGAAAGCCATGGGTGTATCTCATTTAGTGTTAAGCCTACTTTTATGGTTCCTAAATTTGTCTTATGCTTGATAAGAAGGTAGGTAATGTCATGAAAATAATTGATCATGTCAGCTCATTATGAAATCAAACATCCTCCTAAAACAAAAATATGGGCTTTTTTTTTTTTTTTTTTGGCCAAAGGTTTTAATAATATTTATCTCTGATAATTAAAGTGCAAAGATTATTCCTAAATAGCACCCCCCCCTCCCCTGGCAGTGTTCACGTCATCATGTATATGAATCTCTGCTTTGTATGTACATTTAGAGTTTGTGGGAAGAGGAATTGCTGGAAAACATCATACGTATTTATAGTA